CGAAGTTGTCCATGTAGCACATGCATCCCGCATACACTATATTCACAAAGATTTACTTTCAATTAAACAAAATGTATAGTGAAGATACACAACTTTCTAGTTTATACAATACAATTAAATGTATTGTTTTACTTTACAGTCAAACAACCGTTTTTTGTTCACATGCAAGGCCTTTCGAATAATCAAGATGATAAAATGGTATGGAGATATCTGTATTAAAGTGGTAATTCCAGAAATATAGATTATAAAGTAATGCCAAACTATTCCACACCTTAAAACAACTCAAGCATGACATTTTGGACAGGACACGGTTAACAAAATCATTGAAAAGTATTTAATTTCATCAACAAATACAGGATTCCTTGCACCAAGCAAAGAACTATATATTTTCAATAAACACCAACATCTGATTCTTATAAATCACTCTGATTGCAGATTCATATTTCAATTTGATTGAAACTCTCTATGATACAACAGAGGCTATCATTTCTGCTATGCTAATGGCAGGGTATAAGTAAAATAAATGTTGTGCCAATCTTACAGTTTATTTTCAGAAGTGGCTGTAATCACTGCAAAAATGAAAAACCAAGCTCTCCAAGGGGAATAAAAAAATAAATAAAAATCCTAACTATCAAAGATCCCTATACTCTACACCAGTAGCAAATGTTCAAACATGAATCTATTGAGAGATAAAATGCATTCATGGTTAGATGTGCTGGCCATTCCCATGTTATTTTTGACCCAATCAGACACATGATAACCTGATACACATGCACGATAGCATAGCACTGTAAAAGGTACTACAATTCCCATTAGTCTCTTTCTTTAAATTAGCGGTCTAACTCGATCTTCTACAGTCGAAATGAGGGTGGACAGTGTTGCCGAGAGTCGGACACCCTTGGATAAGCCATGGTTACAAAAGTTGATGGGAAAAACGTTAAAGAACCAGCTGCAAGACTGTGCCTTGGCACTAGGATGAAGGCAAGTAAAATATATTAAAGGGACACTATAGTCACCAGAGAAACTACAGCTTAATGTATTTGTTCTGGCGAGTATAATAGCTCCCTTCAAGCCTCTGAAAAGGCAGTGTTTACATTGCCACTAGGGACACCTTCAAGTGGCCACTCCTTAGATGGCCACTGAAGGGGCTTCCTGGCTCAGTGCTGCACAGTAAGCAGCCCTGCCTTTCAGCATGCTCACTCTCTGCATGGAGACGCTGAATTTTCCTCATAGAGATGCACTGATTCAATGCATCTCTATGAGAAGGTCATGATTGGCCAAAAACAGCAGTTGGCCCCACTCTCATGCCAATTTTAGCCAATCCAATGCTTTCCCTATGATGATGTCAAAAAGGGGGCAGAGTCAGCGCGGGCAGACCCGTGCAGTGCTGGAAATAAGATGAGTTTTAAACTTTTAAAGGGAGGGCAAGCCACCTAAATAGGGAATTTAGCACTATAGGGTCAGGAATACATGTTTGTGACCCTATAGTGGTCCTTTAAGCTTAAATTTCACAGAGGTCACTGTAATGGAAGGGAAAAATAGATTATTTGGGTGATTATAGGTTCCCTTTAACCCCTTAAGGACACACGACATGTATGACATGTCATGTTTCCCTTTTATTCCAGAAGTTTGGTCCTTAAGGGGTTAAAGCCTTTGACTTTCGTCTGCCTGACACTATATATATATATATATATATATATATATATATATATATATATAATATCTCTATACCCCTGGAGCATGTGAAATCCATACAAGTATCCAAGCCCTGCCTTTGTATTAATCCGATTCCTAGCTTCATGCTACACTGCTCTACTCTCATCAGTAGAAGGTCAAAAGGTGCACACATCTCCCAACTTCACACAGTAATCTCATTCTTTACCAAGATTAAGAGCAATTAAAATAGCTGTGCTGAGCATTTTTCTACTGGGAAGAAAACACTCCAAACTACCAATCAGATTTAAAAAAAAAAAAAAAAAGACGCAAAATATATTTTTCCTACCAAATGGACAAACACGTAGGAGTATTTAGTCCCCTTCATAATCTCTCTACTACAAGTGTAAAATGTGGGGATTTGAAAATAGACTGAAGCAAACTGATTTTAGGCCATTAGATTTTAATAGCCATGTCAGCATTCTTACACGCCATACGCCATGGTGGCCATGGTAAATATCACCATCACTTCACATTTACCAATACTGAGAAAAAAAAAAGGGCTAAAGTGGGGCATCCCAGTGATGGAGTACCCCAGCTCAAAAAAGCAGCCAACAAGCCCTGATGAAGAGATCTAACAATAGCAGTTACTGGGAGGAATATATAGTGTGTGTGTGTATATATATATATATATATATATATATATATATATATATATATATATATATATATATATATATATATATATATATATATACACACACACATATACATATGCTACCACACAGTGGTGTATCCTGGTTTTTGTGCTTGCCCTAGGCAGGACAAAACTCAAGCCCCTCCCAGCCACCCCCCCCACCCTTCCCATGCCTCTACAAACACACACACACAGTCAGACACACAAACACAGACACATACACACACAGTCAGACACACACACACAGTCAGACACATACACACACAACAGTCAGACACAAACACACACACACACACAGTCAGACACACACAGTCAGACACAAACACACACACACAGTCACATACACACAGTCAGACACATACACAAACAAAAACACAGTCAGACACACACACACACACACACACACACAGTGAGACACATACACAGACAAATACACACACACTCACAAACACACACACAGTCAGACACAAACACACACACATTAACTTTTTTTTTAATTTAAATCCCCCCCCAACCTCCTTACCTTTGGGAGTGCTGGGGGGGGGGTCTCTCTCCCTGGTGGTCCAGTGGCTGCAGGGCGGGCGGCGCTGGCAGGCGGGCGGCCGGCGAGGGAGCACTTCCCTGAGCTGACTGCTCAGCTCCCTCGCGCGTCGGCTGCAGAGTGAGGCTGGGAACCGGAAGATGACGTCATCTTCCGGCTCCCAGCCTCACTTTGCGGTGCGCGAGGGAGCTGAGCAGTCAGCTCATGGGAAGTGCTCCCTCGCCGGCCGCCTCGGGATGTCAGTTAGCCGCAAGGCTAACAAGGCATCTGCCCTGGGCATTTGGGGGGCGGCGTTTTTTGCCGCCCCCTGAAAAATGCCGCCCAAGGCAAATGCCTTGTTTGCCTCGCGGCTAATACGTCCCTGTATACACATACATACATACACACACACACCGTGTATAATAAATAAATAAATAAATAAATAAAGGGGGGTAATGATGCCCCATTAGAAATCAGAACTCTTAGAAATGGAGACAAACATCTCCCAAAATGCTTTTCTTCGTTTTCGATTAGCTAAATAGAGCTAATGGATGCGGCAGGCGTGCTGACTTCTTCCCTTCTCAATGAGCTTTAATACAACTCATTGAAAAGCATAGGAAAGCCGGAAATGTACGAGCACACAAAATAACTGCTCCAGCACAAGGGGCTTCTCAGAGAAGTTTCTAATTGGCGTTTGGTGGGGAAAAGAAAGAGGACTTGCTAAGGCTGCAGATAAAAAAAAATACATCAATAAACAAACAAGAATGTTTTATTTACGGGTAGATCTACTAAATTGTTATTTAAAAAACTAAACGTTTCAATGTAGTGTTCCATTAAACCATCTTTAAATTGTTTAACACTGTGGTAGAGAGCCCCAGGTGTTGGTCTGGCTTCCTATCCTCTGCTGCTCGAATATGCAGAAACATTTGCTTGAATAGCAGATATAGACAGAGGGTCAGCTGAAACTTTCCGCCAATCATTGGTCACCCGTAGCAAGTAATACTTCAAAAACAAGCACGACAAGCGATAGGCTGAGAGGGTCAGGTGATATATAAAGGCCTAAACACATCTGCTCAAGCAAATACTCCCACATTTGCAAGCAGCTGAGAAGAGGAAGCCGGACCAGTGCCTGGTAGACTCCATTTCAGTATTAAACCATTTAACAACAATTTGATGGTTAGAAGACACTGGGGGACTCTAGTCACCATAACCATTTCAGGTGCAGAAAGTGGTTTTGGTGCTTGGAATGTTCCTTTAATGCAGATATTAAAACAAGCTCTACAATGTGCATTAAAAAAAAGCCTAGACATATATACTTATTTTCCAAAATTTGTTTTGCCTTGAAAGTTTTAGGTATTTTGAACTTAAAATAAGAAAACATATTTCACAGATAAAATACTATTTAAAGTCAATTAAACCAAAGTGAAGAAAATTAAATATATAGTTCCTGGTTAATATGATTTTAATAATAAAACCAACACTGTATAAATGGGTAAAAACAAACAACACGAAAAATAATGGGTTGAACAGATTTTATTAAAATAAAACAAAAGTATATATATATACAAAAGTATATACATAACCGTCAGGTTATATTAGCAAATTTTGAACATTGCACAATATCACTTTAATATCAGCACTATATTTGCTATTAATCCAATGAACCGTAAGGTTTTTATTGCCTTCAATATATATATTTTTTTTATAGTGAGCTTATACCTTCAAGATAGCAATTTTGTTAGTATATCGCTTTGTGGATTCAGAGAGATTTTGTGGATTTAGGCACTTTGCAATATTATAAGGTTCACTTGTACACCGTTATTCCCCTTAGCACTTCATTTCGGCCAGTTTATATCTGGGTTGCCATGGACACGAGGTCTATGCCGACGTCTCCATGACAGCGCTACCATGTGATCACGTTGTAAGGGGGCGGAGCACATCACGCATGCGCAACACACACTATGGGCCGTGGGTGAAAGCACTCAGGGGATCCGGTACACCTGGGGTAAGTTTATTTTCAATTATTAGATGTAATATATATGTGGATTTGTTTGTATGGCTGTTTATTCCTGAAGAAAGTCCCATACGAGGACTGAAACGTCGAAACAGCTTTTTTTTTTTTTTTAATTCTTTATTTTTGTCGTGCAAGAATTTACAACAGTGTCTGTGTAGCCACAACAGCTGTAACAGACGCAGTCAGATATAACATAGTAAAACAATTTCGTGGCATAAGTTAACTCAGCACATTTTTGTATTTTAGTGAACAGAAAAGACAACCGTGAGCGGTGTATAGTTCAACCTATGTATGGGCAAAAGCATTTAAGTAGCTGGTTCACATGTTGGTTTACACCTTTGTGTAAGGAGCATGCATACATTTTTGTTATGAGCTTACTTTACATCGTGGTATCAACAAGTTTAGTAAAATATTAAGAATAACAATAATAACAATAGGTGGACATATGCTGTAACAGTGGTGTTTCAGCAGATTCGTGCTATGAGGAATAATACTATAGTAGTGCGATGATGCTGTAAGTCATTCGCGCTCTGTAATGAGAAGGGACTACGTCCGCCTTTAGTTTTAGCTCAGTTTAAGTGGGAGCGTGTGGTTTGTGCCTTAGAGTGAACGCTAGGTAGGTTACGTCTTGGTAAGGTAGTCAGGTCGTAAATATCGTAGCAATAATAAAAAAAAAAAAATAAGGAAGCAAGGGACACAAGGGAACATTTTAAAAAAACAAGGAGTATAGTTTGCTCTGGTATCGTGACATTAATTTTGTCGTGCCGATTCATATAGAGAAGGAATATACATCCCAGTGGCGTGTTCCCTGTATAAGGGAGGTTAGACTGTAGCATAAAGGAATGTATGTCTGTATATTTTTCAGAGAGCAGAGATAGCTAAATGCTTCTGTTGTCAGAATAGAAGTGTGTATCGCCTATTTCGTTAGTGTGGCTTACGCTGCTGTATGAGTAGTGTAGTATTAATGGCAACCATGTTGTTGCGGCTAGTTGCTCTAAATGTTTGAGTGACTCATGTCGTGTTAGATGGCCCAAGTTCGGCTAGGCTATTGTACTGGCAGGGTAGGTTTAAATATCAAGTTAGTCCTGCCATAAGTATCTGAATGGGTGAGTATAAGAATGCGTCCCGTGTTTAAGTCCTATGGGAAGGTCAAGGCTCTATAAAAAGTGTCGGGCCTGGTTGAGCTCGTGTTCCTAGTTTGCGGTCAGTTTGGTCCCTGCGCTGTGACATTCTAAGTAAATGCGCATTTACAGTGGTAAGATCATTTTGTGGCCCTAGCGCTATTATAAACAGATAACAATCATGGACATTGGTCATTCCCAGGGGTCCTTAAGGGCTGACCTGCATGGAGGACTGAGAGTCTCTGGGTGTGTGGTGACAACTGTCACAAGACGGTCGAGTGCCCAGAAGCTGCTTAGGGCGTTATCGGGCGGCTCTGCGAAGTCCCTCCTGAGTTCCTCTCTCTGTGTAGGCAAAGGTCCTGGTTTTTCGTGGTCTCTCCAGCGATCAGCAGTGTGGTGCCGTCAGGTACAAAATAAAAGTCCTTGGAAGGAAAAAACAAAAAGAACTGGGTATGAAGGAAACTAAAGTCAGATGATAGGCAGGAGCGGCCGCGGGTCGCTGTCTCTGCGCCTCTTTAGGGCGGTATAGTGCCGCTTGGTGCCCCGTTCTTCTCTGCAAGGTTGCCTGACTGCCCTTTCTGCGGAACGAATGGCTTGGTCCTTGCGGGGTCCCAGTTGTGCTTCTTGCCTCTGGCTTCTGCTGGGCCTGTCGGCATAGGGGAGTTCTCTGGCAGGCCAAGTGTGATCAGCAGCCGTTTAGCCTCCGGTAGGTCTTGGACTGTGTGGATCATATTGTCCTTTAGGACCTGTAGGGCCCTTGGTGTGCGCCATCGATAGGTGATATCATTTTGTCTCAGGAGTGTGGTGACGGGTTGAAGGGATCTGCGCCACTGCATGGTATCTCCAGACAAGTCTGAAAAGAAGGTAAGGTTGGCATTTTCGAAGTTGAGCGGGGTCTTCCCTTGCAGGGCCTTAAGCATGGCCGCCTTGTCTGCTCCGGATCGGAATCTCACCACCAGGTCACCGGAGGCCGTGGCTGGGGCCGTCCTCGGTTTGGGGATTCTAAATATCGCCTCAAAGCTCAAGGCTTTCGCTTGTTGCGGCTTCAGTAGTGCTCCCGCTAGTCTCCTCACCAGGTGTGGGAGTTCACCCGGCAAGACTTCGTCTGGGACGCCTCGGATCTTGAGGTTATTGCGGCGTCTTTGATCCTCAAGGGCCGCAAATCGGTGGTCCGTAGTTGCTTGGTGCTGTTTGAGCGTTTGTAGCTCTTTTCGTAGGTCCGCAATTTCTTGGGCCTGCTTGTCCGTGTGGGCCTCGATGGCTCCCATGCGCCCGATCAGGCCTGTCACCTCCGCCCGGAGCTGTGCAACATCTGCCTGGATCACCCGCTGTAAGTCACCCAGCATTGTTCTCAGCGTGTCTGTTGTGATCAGTTCAGGTTGCTTTGTGGGTGCGGGTGGTTGGGTCAGTGGGGCGAACATGCCACTGGTGTACTCATCTAGGCTCAGTTCGTCCGAGGAGTCTGAGTACCCCGCCATGTCGGCGGCCATCTTGGCCCCTCGTGCGTCTTGTGCCTGGCGGAATAGGTCCCCGATATCGGGGCCCAGTTTGGGCTTGTCCGACCTCTGCTTTTTCGCTTTTCGTCCCATGGTGCCGATGGGCCTGTGGGATCGATTTTGGTTTTGTTATTTTTGCAAAATTCGCGTTTTTGTCATCTATGGGTGAGGAGCTCGTTGATCATGCGTCCGCTCCTGTTCGAAACAGCTTTTTTAACACATGGATTAATAAACTTTATTTTTTAATCAACTTTTGGATATCCGTGAGTGCTGATCACTTTCTACTGGTATGTAAAACTCCCCCTGATTTCAAGCACCCGGTCTTAGCGTTTCTTGGAGCCAGACTGCAAGGGTTTTATATATATATATATATATATATATATATATATATATATATATATATATATATTATATATATATATATATATATACACACACACACACACACACACACACACCTCAACAAAAATAAAGGGAACACAAAAGTAACATTCTAGATCTGAATGAATTAAATATTCTTCTGAAATACTTTGCTCTTTACAATAAAAAAATGGAAATCACCTTTTTAAACCCATGGAGGTCTGGATTTGGAGTCACTCAAAATTAAAGTGGAAAAACACACTACAGGCTGATCCAACTTTAATGTAATGTCCTTAAAACAAGTCAAAATGAGGCTCAGTAGTGTGTGTGGCCTCCACGTGCCTGTATGACCTGCCTACAACGCCTGTGCATGCTCCTGATGAGGTGGTGGATGGTCTCCTGAGGGACCTGGACTAAAGCATCTGCCAACTCCTGGACAGTCTGTGGTGCAACGTGATGTTGGTGGATGGAGCGAGACATGATGTCCCAGATGTGCTCAATTGGATTCAGGTCTGGGCAACGTGCGGGCCAGTCCATAGCATCAATTCCTTCGTCTTGCAGGAACTGCTGACACTCCAGCCACATGAGGTCTAACATTGCCTTGCATTAGGAGGAACCCAGGGCCAAACGCACCAGCATATGGTCTCACAAGGGGTATGAGGAGCTCATCTCGGTACCTAATGGCAGTCAGGCTAACTCTGGCGAGCACATGGAGGGCTGTGCGGTCCCCAAAGAAATGCCACCCCACACCACTGACCCACTGCCAAACCGGTCATGCTGGAGGATGTTGCAGGCAGCAGAACGTTCTCTACGGCGTCTCCAGAATCTGTCACGTCTGTCACATGTGCACCTGCTTTCATCTGTGAAGAGCACAGGACGCCAGTGGCGAATTTGCCAATCTTGGTGTTCTCTGGCAAATGCCAAACGTCCTGCAAGGTGTTGGGCTGTAAGCACAACCCCCACCTGTGGACGTCGGGCGCTCATAGGGTCAGTTTCTGACCGTTTGAGCAGACATATGCACATTTGTGGCCTGCTGGAGGTCATTTTGCAGGGCTCTGGCAGTGCTCCTCCTATTCCTCCTTGCACAAAGGCAGAGGTAGCGGTCCTGCTGCTGGGTTGTTGCCCTCCTACGGCCTCCTCCACGTCTCCTGATGTACTGGCCTGTCTCCTGGTAGCGCCTCCATGCTCTGGACACTATGCTGACAGACACAGCAAACCTTCTTGCCACAGCTCACATTGATGTGCCATCCTGGATGAGCTGCACTACCTGAGCCACTTGTGTGGGTTGTAGACTCCGTCCCATGCTACCACTAGAGTGAAAGCACCGCCAGCATTCAAAAGTGACCAAAACATCAGCCAAGAAGCATAGGAACTGAGAAGTGGTCTGTGGTCACCACCTTTATTGGGAGTGTCTAGCTAATTGCCTATAATTTCCACCTGTTGTCTATCCCATTTGCACAACAGCATGTGAAATTGATTGTCACTCAGTGTTGCTTCCTAAGTGGACAGTTTGATTTCACAGAAGTGTAATTGACTTGGAGTTACATTGTGTTGTTTAAGTGTTCCCTTTAATTTTTTTGAGCATTGTAACTTATCAAAGTATAATGAGAGAAAAGACAATCTCAAGCTGAATGTTTAGTAAAAACAAACACTAAGTTGGGGGAAAAACAAAAATAATATATTTTTTTTTTAAAAAACACACACAAAAGAAAACAAACCTTGTGCTACGGATAACATTATCTTTCAAAAAAATGAGCACATGTGGTTTATCAACCAAGAGATTAGGTACACTTAATATGCAAAATGGATGTTATCTGCTCTCAAAATCTTTTTTTGTGATGTATCTTTTCTTTACATGAGGTGTTAATTTTTTTAGAAAAGCAGTATTATTTTTAAATATTTATTTTAAAATGCCAGAAAATATAAAGGTGCAGAAGTGAAACTAAACTATAAATTAAGGCTTATTGAGCACAATATGCCAGTGGTGGGAAATCCAAGTTCTTAAAGAAACACTGTAGCCACTATAACAACTTCATCTTATTCAAGTTGTTATAGTGCCTTTAATATTTCCCACCTCCTCCTATCTCCTACGAACTGGATCTCCAATATGACCTAGTTTAATTGGTTGACGGTTAGAAAGTGAGGCTTCATGCCACTCCTCAAAGCCTTCTGAATTAGAGAGCAAAGACGGTTACATCCTGGCTTTCATTCACATTCATATCAAGACAGCAGCATGCCTAGCGTAGCGTGCTGATGTCGACAGGTTTGGGCTTCTGCGATCATGACTTCCCACAGAATATTATTGCATTCAATGATTCTCTATTACAAGCTTTTCATTGCTGGATTGCATAAAATGCCAAGCTTACATCTACAGTTAACCATGCTTCCGTATGAGAAGCATTGGGTTGGACCACACAACAGACTAAAACTGGTAAGTAAATGTATATTTACCAAAAATTTAAGCCTTGGTGGGGGGTGGGCATTTTTATAAAAAAAATTTTAATTATTATTTTAATATATATATATATATATATATATTTTTTTTTTGTAATTTTATTATTATTTTAATTTTTATTTCATTTAGATTTTTTTGCCCCCCCCCCTCCCTGCTTGTTAGCTGGCCAGGGAGGGGGCTCTCATTCCCTGGTGGTCCAGTGGCATGGGCTGTGTAGGAGGGGGGCTGGCAGAGAGCTGTAACTTACCATTCCTGCAGCTCCTGTCAGCTCCCTTCTCTCTCCTCCGGTCCGGTCAGCTCCCCTATCAGCTCCACTGTAAGTCTCGCGGTCTGAGTGCTGCACGGAGCGTTGCCACAGTAATCCGGAGGAGAAGGGAGCTGACAGGAGCTGCAGGAAAGGTAAGTTACAGCTCTCTGCCAGCCCCCAACAGGACCGCCGGGCTTGTAATGAGCCCATCGGTCCTGGTCTGTATTATGGCAATGTAACTTGCCATAATACAGACAGTGACTCGAGTATAAGACGAGTGGGGTGTTTTCAGCACAAAAAATGTGCTAAAAAACTCGTCTTATACCGAGTATATACGGGTACATGTTTTGAATGGATTCTCTCAAACTTTTATACCAAGCAGTCTTTAAGATGCTAAACTGTCAAAGTCCTCCAAAAATTCTGCTTCAATTTCTTTCAGGCTTGGGGAAGCAATCAGCCGGTGAGGTCTGCACATACCATAACCAGAAAATTCCTTGTAATCAAACCAAATCCTGACGCTCTCATTTCTTTCAATGGGAGACCTACCACGCAGCTGCATCACATCCACACATGATAAATAATGCTTCACTACAAAAGGTGGGGAGCCATATATGCATATAGCAAAGCTTCAATTCTTTTGAGTCAGTAGTTCATATTATTTTTTATATTTTAATATTTTTATTGAGGCATAAGCATTGCACAAATGGTAACTGTCGACAGTGACAACAATTAACAATAGGGTAGAGCGCCATGGCATGGTTAAAAGGGTATGGTAAATGCAGTATGTCAGGAATGATGGCAGCATAGTAAAATAACATTGAGAAGGTACGACATAGCGTTGTGAGAAATACATTGTCACTAGTTGAGAGCCCCTTTTTTCATATGTGGGTGCATACATTGTATGGTGTGTCTGTGCTCGGAAAACACATGACCTGGTAGGCCGCACTCTACCCTCTTCTATCCCCTGCAATGTCTGAGGCCTGCAGGTCCTGAAGCTAGAGTTTTGCTCAGCAGCCTTTGTCCGTTACTGCCCGTGTAGGGCTGAAAGGGGAACTAATGAGGCAGAGATGTTATGCTATGCGGGTTATTAGTATACTCGGTGTGACGTTCAGGCATGGTGCAACTCGAGGGGGTGGGGGTTATGCATTAAAGCTTAAACGTGGGTCAAGAACGCTTAGCTTCGGTCCTCCCTTTGGCTATCAGAGCCCGTGGGTAACCCTATTTATAGGGTATTGCTGCGGCCCATAGCTTCGTCATCACTCATTTAAGGCGACCCGCTATTGCAGTTTCCTGGAAGAAACAAAGAGTATTCCTCAAAAATAAAAGGCGTTTAATCCCTGGTTGCTTTTTGGAATGCTTCCGTATCTCCTCTGAACCTGAATCTCATGATGACATCCCTAGATATGGGGGATTTGTTGTGAGGTTGGCCCGGCAGATGGTACATTCCATCTAGGATTAGGCTTTTGACCTGCTTAGGTGGCAGAGCTGCGGAGATCAGTCTCCTCATGAACTGTGGCAATTTCGCTGAGTCAATGGTGTCAGGGACCCCTCTAACCTTCAGGTTGCGTTGTCTCACTGTATCTTCGAGGTGCACCATCTTTGCACTTAGTTGTGCATATGTGAGATGTACCTCTTGTAGTTGCGTAGTGGTTGAGTCTTGCTTGACCATCAGGTCGTGTATATCTATCGCGGCCCTGATGCGTCCTGTCAGAGCGCTCAGATCCTCTTTCAGGACTGTCATTTCAGATGCAAAGAAGGTCTTGAGCTCCGTGACCATGAAACTCAGGTCTACTTTTGTGGCCGGGACTGGTACTGGCCGTCGTGCCTCCTCCAGCTCTCGGTCCTCCTCTTCCGAAGCGGATAGTGAGTCCAAGGTGGAGGCACAGAGGATGTCCGCCATTTTGTGCCTACTCGGCTGGGATAGGAGCTGCCCGATATCCCGGGTCTGCCCCTCGCTGAGCCCCCGAGATTTCTTGGGGTGTTTCCTAATTGTAGCCCGGAGCAGTAGGTGGCCTTTGGTAAGTCGGTAAACCGCTGTAGAATGCGTGGTTTCGGTGTTTATGAGCAGGAGCTCAAGCGCCATGCGACTTGCCTGCTCGCTGGTTAGCTCTGCCCCTGTTCATATTTTATTTTGACCAGTCAATATAAGAGGAGTTATTTTATACAACAAGCACCTGCTTTGGTATACATAAAAGTTGACAAAATAAGCTTATGTCATTCGTTATAAAAATATCTGTTGTAGTAAGAATTCATAAAATGCTGCTACTTAACACATTATGGGGATAGGTGGGTTAGCTATCTATATTTCTTCAACTGGCTGAGAACTATTCAGCAAACAGCTAACCAATGCCTCAATTTCCAAATGGTTCAATAAGGTTAGAAAAAAGCTTTCCAATGATTTAGTTACAAAAATTCCCCATAGACTTTAATGTAACCTCTGGAGAAAAATCATTTGGAATGGTTCCTATTTAGGGTCTTTTGGCTTCTAACATATTTGTAACAAAGTTGCAGACCATCTTAGACTTAGTATGATACCTTTCCACATATGTGTGCAAAAGATATGGCAACTTGTGATTTAGAATAGAGAGAGAGAGATAGAAAGAAAGACAGAGCGACTCTATATTGCTATTCGTCTCAAATTAGAATGAATACCCTTTTGCAACTTCTGACATTCAGATTAGTTCAACTCAGAAACTTATCTTGAGATCCAGACAGACAATTAATGGAGGATAAAGAGGTCTCATTTTGGCTTAAGAAACTTTGCATAGTAAACAAAATTTGTAAAAAAAAAATAAAAATAGCTCATGTAAAAACTGACCTATGCTTATAAGGTAGAAAGACATTAAAGAGATTTTATAATCCTAAGAAACACATAATTCAAAGCTAGCATTCAGGATAAATTTGGAAAGCAAATGTAAAATGAACAATGTGTGTCTAGCAAAAAGAGCAGGGGTATAATTACTGTACTTTCTAACAACGACAAACTGTGGCCTACATTAGCAATACCTGCAATAAAAACCTAGTATCTTATGTACATAAAAAGGCAGCAAATCTTTAGTCCCATAAGATTAGCACAGCCTCAGACACCCAGGGAGGAGATATATATACATATACACACATATTTATATATTATTTGATCACCATTAGACATTTATGTAATTTATTGTGGCTAAATGCAAAAAACAACTGATACCTGTGTGCAATTGTGCACCCACTCCATTACTTAAAATGACACTATACTCACCAGAGCAACTACAGCTTATTGTATTTGTTCTGGTGAGTATTATCATTCCCTTCAGGCTTTTTGCAGTAAACACTTTTTTTTTTTTTTCTTTTTTTTTTAGAGAAAAGGTAGTGTTTATATTATAGCCTAGGGATACCTCCACTCCACTGGCCTTTCCTAACCAAGATGGATACTAGAGGTGCATCCTGGGGCACTGCTGCCCCCTTCAGTGTCTCCATTCAATGTATCTATATGAGGAGCTGCTGATTGGCCAGGGCTGTTTGACGTGTACTGTCTCTGCACCTGATCTGTCTCCTTGACAAGCTAAGCCAAGCCAGTGTTTCCTATGTTAAAGCATTGTGATTGACTCAAATAATCACTTCTGATGATGTCAGCCAAGCAGGCAGATCAGGGACAGAGCCAGCAGCAGTCTGGAATAAAAGTAAGATTGTGCTATATGTAGCGGGGCAAGTGGGAACCAGTGGGGTTAGATGGTGGTTTTAACACTATATGGTCAGGAATACAGGTTTATGACCCTATAGTGTTCCTTTAATGCAGACTGCACATGTAGACATGGACAGTGGGACTATTTAAAAAAATGAATATTTCATAGCAGTATCTTTATGAAATACTCCTATTGATGGTGTTAGAATTTCACTGAAATTACAAGCCGGTGAAGAGATATACTGAGACAAAGTAGGGACTTTGCAAAATTTGGCAAGTCCCCCAGGTGGCGGCAGTGCTTCTTTAAATTAGCATATTTTTAAAGTTTTATTTTATACAGATTATTGAACTATACTACTATCAAACAGAAGCTAGGTGATGTAAATGTGTGTTTTCTCTAGAACAGGGGTATACAACTAAGGGATTGTAGAGCATTCTGGGAGTTGTAATCAATCATAATAGGGCAGGGGATTGTTTGACACCCCTTGCTCTAGAAGGCAAACTCTTATGTGTATGCAATGTGCTCATCAAATTATGTTTCCATAATAAACAAAATGGACAGGATCATGCATTGGACAGCGCTATGGAATTTGCTGGCACTATATAAATAATAAAATAATAATAAATGTCACAAAACAGTATCAACTAGCACAGAAAGGATGAATCACTTGGTAAAGTATCACAATGTAGGTCACACACACAAAAAACAAAAACAAAAAACAAACAAAAAAAAAAAAGACGTGCACAAAATGGGCAAATTGATAGGGCTAAGGTTCTGCAATCAAAACACAAAGGAAGGTCAAGGGCAAACTGCAAGGATAATAGAAATGCAGAAACAAACCTAATTAACATTTTTAGAGTAAGACAAAGATGAAAGAATCGGAAACCGTTTCGATCATAAACAAGCCCACACAAGTGAGCAATAAGAGGAGAGTGAGGTTTAAATGAGATAATCAGGAGCCAAAGTTAGTTTTCTGTGTAAATTAATTTTAATGAGGTAAAGCAATACATAATTGCAACTAGGGGAAAACCAATATCAGTGCTATGATGGGTCAGAATAAACAGTTCGACTAATTATAAATACAGTGGTACCTTTTTTTTTTTTTTTTTTTTAAATGAATTTAATGTGTTCTCCGGGACGTTTCTTATTGCGAAAAACTTGTAAACCGAAACGCGGTTTCCCATAGGAATGCATTGAAAACTAACTAATCCGTTCTGGAGGTCAGAAAAAAGTCAAAACAAGATGGCATGTAAACCAACCCACAATGCAGAACACACAATAAAAGGCATGCAAACAATGAAGCTTAGCTCCCCCTACCTTTCCACCGCTTGAGAAACGCACCAAAAAAAAATCCAAAAAGTCCCAAAACAACTGCAAACAATTTCCAGAATGCCACACTCGACGCCACAGTGCTACCCACAAACTCATGCACGGCAGCAGCGCTATAGACCTCCCAGGCGCAACGCATCCTGGGGAAACTTGCTTTGTATTGCACAAAAAATTTGTAAACCGAGGCATTATTTAAAATGGATTTTCATTTGTAAATCAAAAATTATGTTAACCGAGGTGTATGTAAACTGAGGTACCACTATATTGATAATACCTTGTTAATCCTGACAAACAGGATTGCCATTTTTGAATGCAGAACATATACAGTAAGAAAAAAGTACTTGATCCCCTGTTGATTTTGAACGTTTGTCCACTGACAAAGAAGCGATCAGTCTATAATTTTAATGGTAGGTGTATTTTAACAGTGAGAGACCGAATAACAAAAACAAAAAAATAATCCAGAAAAACACATGTCAAAAAAGTTATACATTTATTTGCATGTCAATGAGTGAAATAAGTATTTGAACCCCTATCAGTCAGCAAGATTTCTAGCTCCCAGGTGTCTTTTATACAGATAACGAGCTGAGACTAGGAGCACGCTCCATGCAAGATCTAACCTCGTGGAGTATCAATGACCATGAAGAATCAGCCCAGAATTACCCGGGAGGATTTTGTTATGATCTCAAGGTAGCTGGGACCATAGTCACCAAGAAAATAATTGGTAACACACTATGCCATGAAGGACTAAAATCCTGCAGCCCCCAAAAGGCCCCCCTTCTCAAGAAAGCACATGTACAGGCCCATCTAAAGTTTTCCAATGAACATCTGAATGATTCAGAGGAGAACTGGGTGAAAGTGTTGTGGTCAGATGAGACCGAAATGGAGCTCTCTGGCATTAACTCAACATGTTTGGAGGAGGAGGAGGAATGACCCCAAAAACACCACCCCCCCACCATCAAACATGGAGGTGGAAACATTATGCTTTTCGGGTGTTTTTCAGATAAGGGGACAACTACACTGCATCAAAGGGACGATGGACGGGCCATGTACCGTCAAATCTTGGGTGAGAACTTCCTTCCCCTCAGCCAGGGCATTGAAAATGGGTTGTGGATGGGTATTACAGCATGACAATGACTCAAAACACATAGCCAAGGCAACAAAGGAGTGACTTAAGAAGAAGCACATTAAGGTCCTGTAGTGGCCTAGCCAGTCTCCAGAACTTTATCTCATAGAAAATCTGTGGAGGGAGCTGAAGGTTCGAGTTGCCAAACGTCAGCCTCAAAACCCTAATGACTTAAAGAGGATCTGCAAAGAGGAGTGGGACAAAATCCCTCCTGAGATGTGTGCAAACCTGGTGGCCAACTACAAGAAACGTCTGATTACCAACAAGGGTTTTGCCACCAAGTACTAAGTCATATGGGACAAATACTTATTTCACTCATTGACATGCAAATCAGTTTATAACATTGTTGACATGTATTTTCCTGGATGTTTTTGTTGTTATTCTGTCGCTCACTGTTAAAATATGCCTACCATTAAAATGATAGACCAACTATTTCTTTGTCATTGGGCAAACGTTCAAAATCAGCAGTGGGGACAAATACTTTTTCCCCCTCACTGTATTAGTTTCCATTAGCAAAGCAAAATTGTAAATGAGTTTATGTATTTATTTTTTGCCACAATTTGACACATGCAAGGCATTACATTCATAATATGAATAATATTACAGTATATACACACAAACCATCTGCCTCACAAAATAGTAAATATGCTGACTAAGAAAGCAAAATGGGGTTTGTGAAATGTTTAACTTTATGAACACAATAACCACTACAGCTTAAGGATTATGTAGCATTTCTGCTGTGCCTTTTTTGATGCAATTCTGCATAGGCCATCAATAAATTAATGATGATAAATTAACGTTGGATAGCTAATCTAGAAGTTCATTCAACAGCAGAGGGTTGGTCTTTAGGCGCTGAGAAATGCCCAGCCTGTATCCAAATCAATCAAAATCGGTTTGACCATTACTAGGTACAGCACCCCATAAACTCTTCGCACCAAAACCTCTACAATGAGCTGTAGTGTA